TAAATTAATAAAAAATGTAAGTCTCAACACAATTTGGTTCATTGTTGATAGAGTCAGTACTACATTATTAGGAATGTTAAATAAGGCCAATAACAATCCCACAAGCTTCTGAAATATCTGAACACTAAAACTAAATATATCTGGGTTTCCAAATGACTTGGATACATTAGTATTAAAGAGAATGAGGAAAGGATTTTAAAATTTATTAGTACTACTTTTTTTATAATTATATTTGATGTTAAGAAGTAACTTGGGCTGGGGATGTGGCTCAAGCGGTAGCGCTCTCGCCTGGCATGTGTGTGGCCCAGGTTCCATCCTCAGCACCACGTACAAACAAAGATGTTGTGTCCGCCGAAAACTAAAAAATAAATATTAAAATTCTCTCTCTCTAAAAAAGAAAAAAAAAGTTAGTAACTTGCTAGCATCTGCTTTAATTACACCACGTATTGACTCCATTGTTACTGAATCACTCCAGACCTCAAAATTATTTGCAGTAAAAAGAACTAAGTAGAAAGAGCTTGATTAATTTCTGTGCCACAAATCTCTGTAAAAATGCTGTGAATTAGTTTAGAAGTTTAGGAGACTTTCTTGGGTCTATACGGTAACCAAAACTTAAGATATTATAGGTTCCCAAAAATGTGACCTATATATATAATTTTAGAACTTGTCATGTGATCTCAGTAAATGAATCAAAATTCATATTTTGAGAAATGAAGCAATAAAATTTCTACTTTCCAACATAGAATACAATTTTTAAAAGTTAGTGTAAATTATAGTAGTGATAGTCCCCCCCTCCAGTTCTACATTTTATGTTTATATGTTGTAGGGGAAAGAATAAAAATTGGAGGGTAGTATACCATTCTAGATAAAATAAGGTAACATCAAATATCACTTTTTTATTTGCTAGGTGTTTTGTTTGGTTTGTAAAGTATGTCTGTCTGTTCTAAATTATTTTAGATGATTTAGGATGAAGGTTTAACTTTAATATAGGCATGCTTTTAAAACTGTTTTAAGTCAGCTTTTCATGACTAGAAGACCTAGGAGGAACAACTCAGAGGAGGAGAAATTTATTTTGGCTCATGGTTTTAGAGATTCAGTCCACAGTCATCCAATTCTGTAGCTCTGGGCCCAACGTGAGGCAGAGCATCATGGCAGAAGGGCTTGGTGGAGGGAAGCTGTCAGCTCGTGGCAGTCAGGAAGCAGAGGGAGAGCTGTGGTGCAAGGAGCCTGGGATAACACAATCCCCAGGGCAGGGGCAGGCCCCAGTGACCTGCTTGCTGCAGCCATGCCAGGCTCCCTCTACTCACCACATTATTCACTCAAGTTATTCATCTGTCAGATGGATGAATCCACTGAGTAGATCCCAGCTCCCCTAACCTAGTCATCTCACCTCTGGACATCCCTGCACTGTTTCACTTGAGTTTTCTGGGGACACCTCTTATCCAAACATGACAAACTCAAATTTTAAAAATCCAAAGTTTTACATTTAAAAGATTTGGGATTATTTTGCTCATGTTCTTTCCCTGCTTTTCTCTCTGATCCTTGCTTTTCTATTTGGATCAGGTTCTGAATTTGCCTTTTTCTAGCTAGAAACATTTAGAGACAGGTGATCAGGAAGAAGTTTATCCCTGTGGCAGAGCATACATTAAAATCGAAGTTGATAGCAGCAACCAGGGTGTGCCTTTTCCTTTGTCATTAAACCTTGGTATCTTAGTTTTTCAGTTGCTGATAACAATACCACAGACCTGATAAGTCATAGAGTCATAGAGAAAAGAGGTTTATTTGGGCTCTAGGTTCTGGAAGTCCGAGGTCAGTAGGCTGCTTCTGGAGGAGGCTGGTTGGTGGCGGCTCCTGCAGTAGCGCATAGCATCATGTTGCAAGAGACCAGGGGGGTGCAAGTGTGGCCTCTGGTCTCTCCCACTTCTTGTAAAAACCACCAGCACTCAATCCTGGGGACCCCAGCCTGATGACCCTGTCTGTCCCTAAGCACCTCCCAAGGGCTCCACCTCTGAACACCTTAGTTGGATTGCATTTCCCCTCCTAATCCCTCTCAGGAGGGTTGGTGCTAGTCTGTGTTTTGGAGGGGACAAACTGTATTCAAACCACAGCACCTGGGAGGATGTGCTGACCTGGTGGATGTTAAATATTTAATTGCTGTAAAGTACATGGGTTTTCTGCTTCAGTTGGATAATAAAGCAATTTGTAAGAAACAAAACATATTTTGAAATTGGCATGAGTATCAGGCTCTAACCAAAACTACTTCAAGTATTTACAGTGAAGAAAATATAATGCAGGGGATTGTTGGTAATGAGCAGTGGTGTTGCTGACAGTCTTGAGAAGTGACCTGAAGGGTAGCAACTACAGGAGGCCACTGCCAGCCAGGCTGGAGAGAAAGGGCCCTTTCAAAGCAGCTGCAGCTGCTACCAAAAAGCAGAACCAAGGAGAGAGTTTCAGGGTGAACGGCCCTCGAGCACGGTCCCCAGCGCTGGCTGGACTGACCTGCAGAGCTAACCTCCTGCAGAGCAGGCTGAAGCAGGCAGGCCAGGAGGAGACAGCAGACTCAGAAGGCCACCTCTGGCCAGTCCACTCCCTTGATCTTCTTTGACTATGTCCCAGCCCAACGTGAAACTCGGACACTGCTCTGGCACTAGGTCTTATGGACATGGGGATCTCTGGCCAGCCCTTGGTGTCCTTTCTCTTGGTCATCATGCCCTCCCAGGCTGGTTCTAAGTGGAGGAATGTGGACTTCTCCAACATGTTGTATCTTTTGGACCAGTCATACCTGCCTAACTTGAGTTTCCTGCTACAGGCTCTCAACATTCATAAAGGGTGGTGCTGTATGGGAAGGCCTGACTTGGTCTCTTGTGCAGCTGATCTGGGAAGATTTCTCCTGATTAATACAATAGTTGAAAAAGAATAAATTTTTAAAAGTTGTTACTTCTGTTACAAATCCAACACCTGATCTTGTGACAGGTCAGTCAAAACCCAGACATCACACTAAAAATACTGTGTAAAGTTATTTTCAGGCTATGTTTATGAAGTATAAATGAATTTCATGTTTTGTTTTTCCCTAAAATAGCTCATTATGTATATGCAGAATATTCCAAATTACAGAATCTGAAACATTTCTGTATCCAAGCATTTTGGATAAGTGACACTCTGCCAGCACTAAGCTTTTAATTAAAAGAAATTATTGTTCTGTGCCTACTTTTTTTTTTTTTTTCTCCTTAGTCTGTCTTCTGTTCTCTTTAATAGCTGGGTAATGTTCCATTAGTGGGTGCACCTCAGCTCTTAACCAGGGCCTCACTGCTGGACTTTGAGAAGTTGCCAGGTTTCAGAGTGCTGTTGGGAGCATCCTCACACATAGACACACTTGGGTGGGTATTTCTGAAGGACAGTGCTTCTCAACTAACTTGAAAATGAGTGTAAAAAAAAAACACTGATATTCAAGTTCCACTGAGACTATTCTTTAAATCAGCACCTCTGGTGAGGGGATCCAGAGATATGTTGGTATTTTTTAAAAGTTCCTTGGATGATTCCAAATGAAGTCAAGCTTAGAAAGTAGACTTGCTGAATAAATGATTTCTTTTTTTTAAATATTTTAATCTTGGTGCAGTAATCTGAGCTACATGGGAGGCTGTGGTAGGAAGATTACAAATTCTAGGCCAGCTTGGCAACTTAGCAAGACCCTTTCTCAAAATAAAAATTTTAGAAGTAGTATGGATCAGACTCCCTGGTAGGACACCTGCTTAGCACGTGCGAGGCCCTGGGTTTAATCTCTAGTAACACACACACACACACACACACACACTACACATTTTAGTGGATATTGTAAGTTTTTCTTCATATTAGGGTTAGGAAGAACTCTAATTATAAAAACCTAAAATACTGTTGGCTGAAATAAGATAGTTTACAGATTTTTTTTTTTTTCTGCTGTACTATGATTAAAACCAAGGTTTTGCACATGCTAAAAACCATGGAGCTACATTACTGGCCTTTTCTTAAAATTTTATTTTGAGACAGATTTCACTTAGTTCCCAAGGTTGGCCTTGAACTTGCACTTGTGATCCTCCTCCTTCAGCATCCTGTGTAGCTGGGATTGCAGGCATGTGTGACTACACCCTCCTGATTTTTTTTTTTTTTTTTTTTTTATAAGCACCTGAACATAGGTAGCCCAGGGATGGCATGCCACTTTTGTTCCAAGACATCCTGTGTTACCCAGCTTCTAGCTTCTGTTTTGCTAAACCAAGGATAACTTCTGCCTTGGAGCTCTTAGCCTCCAGCTTTAAGGCAGAAGAGAAGTTAGGATTCCTGCCGTTACGTCTGTGTTCCAGGATACAGGCTGAAGGAAAGGTTAAAAAATGAAAGAGTCAAAAGGCATAGGCCAGCTACTATTTTTTGTAAGATTTCTTGAAACTCCCTCAAAACATTTTCACTTGTATAACCACATTGGCCAGCACTTGGTCATCAGGCCATCCAGCTGCAGGGAAGCCTGGGGAGCAGGTTTCCCCCCGCATGGCCTGTGTGCCTGATCCAGACTAGAGGATGAGAGGAAGGGGGACAGCAGCAGCCCCTGGTGTCTTCCACAGAAGCCATGAGAACCGGCCCTCCCAGGGGCACAGGAGTACCCATGACAAGTAGGACAGTGTGTTGACCCCAGGGAGAGGCTCAGCAGATTTAAGACCACTCTGGGACGATGCTGGAGGTGCGTGCACAGGGCCCTGGGTTCGGTCCCCAGGAAACCACGGAGGTGTAGAAGGCCTGTTTTTCAGTTACACAAAGAACTGTCTCTCCCTGACATTTTAGCTGTCACCCTGGAGGACCTCCATTGTCTTTGGGACAGCCTTGTCATTCATTGGAGTTAGTCTGTGTGTCAGTGCTGCATCCCCTGGCATCAGGGAGGGCCTGCCGGCACCTGGCTGTGTATTCCAACTTTGAACTTGGGAAAGGAGCACAGCTGATATGTGGCTGCTTTTAACCCGCACTCTCTGTCGTTGCAGTGGATGAGGGTCGCAGCAAGGAGCCCGACCGACTGCAGGTGTTCCACAAGAAAGCCATCATGCCTTACGGTGTTTACAAGAAAAGCCAGAAGGACCCCAGTGAGGAGGCTGCGGTGCTGCAGTACGCGAGCCTGGTGGGGCAGGCGTGCGCTGAGAGGATGCTCCTGTTCAGAAGCTGAGGGCCGCACACCTGCCTGGGTGCCTGAGCTGCAGGACACCTGCTGTCGTCCGGAACCAGACTTTCCCATTTTGTCTATCTTGTGGCTTTTCTAAAATATTTTGTGGCAATGTATTTGTGAGAATCTCATGGTTAATATAAAGATTTTGAAAATAAGTTATGACCTAGCCTCATAATTGGGGTTTTTCATTTTGTAAGTTTGTTTCTTGAGCAAAATATGCTCAACTTCGGTAATTAAAATTGTGGGAAGTGATTCAGTCACCCTTGTGCCATTTGTGTTCGGATAGAGAAATTCCAACTTCTCTTTCCTCGGATCCAGTGGCATTTATGATGGGGGAGCCTTAAGTGTGGGAGGAAGGTGGAAAATGTTTTCTCTCTGGAGAATAGAACGTGCTGTCACTCAGTGTTCAGTGTACAATGACTGCCAGCCTCTACTTGTGGGGCGCAGCAGAAGCTGAAAGGGGAAACGCAGACCTGTGCGAGATCTCATGTTCTAATTGGTCCTGTTCGTCTGTCATCTTGGCATAATTTTTTCCCTAGAATAATTGTTACTTGTTCTCTTTTACTCTCAGAAGTTTGGACAATAAAATATGTAATTACCTTAGTGATATATTATTTGCTTTATTTCTAAAAATCTAAGAAACAGAGTATTTAAAGAAATTTAACTCCTGCCTTGATTCTAAGCCTCATCCAAAGGAAATAGGCACTAATTTTCCATCCTTAGAACTCAGGACACTTGTCTTTGGTTATTGATGACTGGTTAATATCTGATTACTTTCATAGCTATTCCACAGATCACTTTTAATCACCAGGAGTCACTCTGACCTCTGTGCTCCTTTTCTGGCCCTTTGATTGAGAATGGAGAATGGGTACTGCCCTTGGTACTTCAGAGCAGAGGGAAGCCCCTCTTTCCCTCTCACTCTTGTTGAGCCTCCACCCATTCAGCAGATGCCTGCTGTACAGGTGGTGGGCACTGGGCTGGGCACAGGAGAAGAATGGAGGTAGTTCCTTGAAACACGATGGACAGGGAGGGCTGTTTCCTGGACACTCTCTCAGCTGGTCCCTCTTTTGCCAGTTGCTCTGCCACCCAACCTTTTTCAGTCCCCATTTTGTCCATTTTTCTGTTTTCTATTGATTGATCTTTTAAAAAAACATGCAATAAAACTTAGTAGCTTGAATCTCATTACTGATTTTAAATTTTTTTCCCAAGATGCACTGAATTTCAACAAAACCTTGAACAGTAACCTTCAGGTAATTAGAATAAAAAGATCACAAAACAAGGGTTTTAAAAATCAAATGTCTACAAATTCAGTATCCATGTAAATTGTACGTGTGTGTGTGTGTGTGTATGAGAAAGAGTTCAAACTGCTGTTTCTTGGGTACCTTGCTAACTGGAGATGGTGGACTGAAGAAAGCCATTTTCTCTGATCACAAAAATTCTACCTTCTGAAAATTTGATCCACAAAATAGCTTCCAAAAGCATTTTAGAGACTGCGGTGGAACTACATTCAGAATTAGTAGAACTTTTTTTCTTTTCCCTCTAAAATGAAGATATCTTTACTATATGGATCTCTTAAAAATAGAAATGATATTGTAAGCAATTAAAATATTGAGGAAAAGAAAGAAAGTAAAAGTAATCTAAAATTCTGCCATACCCAGAGAAAGAAAAAGAAGTCTGCTGTACACACATACATACCTATTTATATAAATAAAATTATGGTCTACATGCAGTTTTGGTTCAAGAGTAATAATTTAGGGATATGTCTGAAATGTGAGAGAAATTTCCAGATCAGATTGCACCCTGCCTGCCTGGTGTTCTAAGTTAGCTTCAGAGAGACATAGGCTTAAAAATGCTTCTACTTGGTTGCTGCATCGATGAGTATGTGTTTTGAGAGAGGAGAATGTGCTCGACCCAGGAGTCCTGGAGTCTCCAAGGCACAGGCTGGTTGTTTTGAAGCCTCACTGAGCAAATGGTGGTGGTGGGCTAGGAAAGGACCGTTGAGGGAAGTGACCCTGCCATGTCAGTTGAGGAGCAGCCTAGAGGCCTGCTTTTATGTTGATGGCTTTCATCTAAAGGAAGACACAGGTGAACCTTGCCAAAATAGTGGGTATCATTTACAGTCATAGTGTTTTAGTGTCCCGATTTCAGATGAATTCACACCTGCCTCCTGCCTTGGGAGCAGAGTTACAATTTCAATTCCCCATGCCACTAGCATTATTGAAAATATTTCAGTTCTATGAGATTTTCATTTTCTTGTTAAATGTAATCTGAGCACTTTTTGTATTCTAAAGGTAGCAATTATTATCAGATGAATATATTATTCATTTGATTGAATTTATTTAGGAAAGAAATTATTACTGTTTATGTTTTCTAGCTTATACTTCTCATCCGTTTTGCAATTAATAGTTTCATTTGATTTCTTAATATATCAGAGCCTATTATGCAAAAGAACCTTTCCGTATTTCTGAATAAAAAATGGTTTGATTTTTTTAGACATTGTATTATTTCAATATGAATAAAAGAGAATATGAACAGTTAACTAAAATGTATCTATTGTTGCTAAGTTAAAAAGGAAAGAAATGAAGTGGAAACAGTTGGGAAATATTTGAATTACAAGTTATTCAAATGAGTGTTCTTTTCCTACAGAAAACCAGTGACTGTAAGGCAAAACAATTTTGATTGCATGTGATATTTTTGCTCATGTATATGCTTTTTGAACAATCCATTTGATAAAGCTTGAGTGGAAAAAATAAAGCTGTTTCTATGTGCAGTGGTACTTTTCTTTACTTAAAAAACATGTTTTCATTTTTTAAAATCTTGACTACATTTTGCCTGCAGAGAACATACACAGACAACGGAGGTAATGTATTGGCTATATGAATTATAAAATGTAATTTTCAGTAATTGGAGTTCCAGACTATTTCATTACCTAAATCAAAGTATGGTGGATTCCTTTCTCAGGAATAAAGTAAATCTCACTTTAAGCAAAATATCTGGATTTCCCCAAGATAAATTAGGACCTAGGTGTTTTGTTTTGTTTTAACCAGATGGATTTATCCATATCCATTAGAATTTTCTAAAGTTTAGTTGACAGAGAAGTTTTAAAAAATGTCTCATAAACAAAAGCATAGGTAAATTGTTCTTCATAGTCCACAGCATATAGGTGGAACACATTTACTAGTGTTTTGACTTTTTATAATGAGGACCCCAATAGGTTGTTTATTACAACACTTTATTATATCACTTTATTAATAACCTGATTTTTAAGTGACTTAGATATTAGTTTTAATTCCAACTGAATTTTTTTTTTCCAGAATGGAAATAGCTTTATTGTTTTTCAGATTCGAAATGGACCCTGTTCACCAGAAAGCACTCCGATGCCATAGGAAAGAATAATAAAATGAAATCATTTTTATTCCCATCACTAACTACTACTGACCACCATTTATGGTGTATATTCTTTCAAACGGTTTTCTACTTAATACATGTCTATGTCTTGTTTTATTTTTGAAGAAAATGGGATCATACCATGTATATTGTTCATACTTTTCATCCGCTTAATTCATAGTGACATCTTAATATATTGTGAACGTGAAAATAAATGAGGAAGTGTATAGCCATTGTGATGCCTGCACAATATCCCAGAGTGCCTGTTGTCATTGGGAAAGAGGGCTGACGACTCTGGCCCTCCTTAGGAGTGGTGGGAATTGCATTTCACCAGCATGACCAGTTGTTTTAATCAGTTCTTTGTAGTACTTGGTGCCCAGAACTGAATATCTGAGCCCCTCCAGAATTCATATACAGAATTGAAATCTTTACCTCTACTGTGGTGGTATTAGAAGGTAGGGGCTATGGGAGGTAATTAGGTAACAAGGGCAGAGCCCCGTAAATGGGATTAGACCCCTTATAAAAGGGGCCTTGGAGAGCTTCCTTGCCCCTTCCATCATGTGGGACCCAGCAAGAAGTCTCTTGAACCTGAAAATGGGCCCTCACCAGACTGCAGCACCTTAATCTTGAACTTCCATCCTCCCGTGCTCTGAGAAATTTAAGCTGCTTACCTCTTTAAGCCTCCAGTCTGTTGTGTTCTGTTACAGCAGCCACACGAGGCAAGACGCTTGGCGAAATCATTCTCACCCCTCATTGCCCAGCCCCTTTCCCTCCCACTGGATAGCAGGAATTTCCTCTTTACCTGAAGGTTCAGAAAACTTGGAGCTTTTGAGACTTGGAGCCCCTCCTCTCTTCTGCTAGCTATTTTCTGGGAGGCCTATAATACTGTTTCTAAGTTTGCCTACCTCTAAAATTTCTAATGAAATGTCTTGTTTAAAAGAAGGTTATTTTAGGGGCTGGAGATACAGCTCAGTTGGTAGGACTGCTTTTCTCCCATGCACAGGGCCCTGGGTTCGGTCCCCAGCACCACAAAATAATAATAATAATAAAATAAATAAAAATTGTTATTTGAAACAAATTAAGGGTCTGAATTACTGCTTCTTTAGAAAACAGGGATCTTTAAATTGGGTTTACTGAAAAATATGGATGCCCATATCACTGTCATTAATCTATTTGAGCTTTTCAATTGTTAGCATACATTGAGAATCTAATTTGGACTTTTATATTCTGTAGTTGTCAGAGTTGGTATCTTCTGTCCTATTCAGAAAATATTCTCATTAACTATTTCAATTAGACCAAAACTTAAAGTTGCTGAATATATTATTTCCCAAATTCTTAGCCTTTTAGAGTTCCAAAATAATCTTGACACATATAGCTTGGTGTTCTCAATTCATCTCTTCTGTATTATGAAGAGACAATTCTAAATTAAAGTGCTGGTTAAAAAGAAAGAAAGAAAAAAGAATGCAGCAGGTCTTACTTTCTGTGGCATTTGCAATGGTGCTCAAAAGTAAGTGTTTCAGCCCCCTCAAAAGATAGAGGCATCCTTCACTGGTCTGGCATGCATGAAGCAACGATTAGTGACTGGCACAATTTTTTTTGTTCAATGATCAAAGGATCATTAAAGTTTGATTAAATGCAGTATCAAAAAAGTGATTTTTAAAATTTATTTTAATGTTGCAACTAGAGTCATTCATTATAAGAAAAGGCATAAACGTACTCCTAACTTGCATAATTCAACTATGATTTTGGATTGAATTCTCCTTGAACTTTAATTTTTTATGCTTGTCAGTCTGAGCCAGGGTCTTAGAATCATTTAACATAGGCCTTTTTTTAAATTTAATTAGCATTAAATGAGAACTCATGAATACTTCATGAAGTCCAATTCATCCCACTATGTTAATTCAGTATTCAGTAAGTCTGAATAGCATCTCTCAACTAATGGAGCTTTTTGATCATGACACAAGAAAAACAACATTTTAGGTTTGTCAATTCAGAACTTAAGGCTCTTAGCTCAGTGATAGATACAGTTCTATGTGCTTGTCCAAATCTTTTTAAATTGAGAGGTGGCCAGACTATAATTTGGAAGTTAACTGTTACTAAGGAGAGTTAGTTTATTAACCTTTAAAGTTTTGTGTGTATATATATATATATATATATATATATATATATATATATATAGAGAGAGAGAGAGAGAGAGAGAGAGAGAGAGAGAGAGAAAGCATGTGCTTAAAACTTTGATTTTTTATTCTTTTTGATTAAAAGAAGCATCTTGATCTGGGTTTAGATTTATAAGACTATGGAAGGAATCACACAAAACTTATAAAACCACCCTGTCTAGGCTATGGTCATTTGTTATGGTGGCTCTAAGAAACCCTTATGGTATCTGTGGGCCACATGTGGATACTAAGCACTTGAAACATAGCTGGTGAGGCAATTTTAAATTTTAATCACATTTAATAGAGACATGGCCAGTGGCTACCTTACCGGACAAGGCAATCTAGTTCTGTCTTTGATTTTAAATTCCATCTTTATTTATCAACTTAAATATCTTCATTTAAAATATTTAAAGAAATAAAAAGTTTCTATTACTAGAAAGCATTACAGTACTCTACATATGTGTGAATTTGTAGTTTCTCATTACCATGGGCTGTGTCAATTTCCTGGGGTAATTGCCATGTCACAATTTATAATTAAGGGATGCACAGGGATGACACTTTCTTGAAGAACAGTCTGAATTGCTGAAAGGTTAATTCTAAAATATTTGCACATTATTCCTGCTATTGTATTTCATTTTTTAAATGTAGTACCTTAAATTTCCTTCCAGGTCTATTCTAGTTACATGTTAATTTTAATCAAATAGGAAAAAAAAAAACTTTAGATTTATCATAACAGCTTCTGAATCCGTAGCAGTAAAAGTGTTTTCATACATCTCCCAAAAGAACTCTGCCCCCAAATCTGCAGAGACACGACTTTGCAAAAAGTGAGGAAAAAATAAATCCTCATTATCTCTCACTTGAGCTGCCTAGTATGTAGCTGGAAATTACTCACACAGGAAAGACAGTTCAGAAGACAGATTAGAAAGGTATATAAAAGAAAAATAATTAGAAAGGCATAATAAAGTATTTTAGGATAATTTTAATTGCTCATTACTTTTTGGATTTTGTTTGGTTTTGTTCCCTGCTGCAGCCTACGTCTACCCAAAACTGTATCAGTGTCTTCAACCCTGAGATCTTGAGGAATTTCAGTGGAGATGTGCTATTTAGATACACGGGTGGGTTTGGATTTGCACTGGTGGAGGCGCCCTGAGCACAGCTGTGTTGCTGGGAGATCTGGAGATGCTGCAGGTGGGCAGTGGCCCTGGGAGTTCCATGCAGTGGCAGGGGGTGCCTTCTCCGGTAGAAAGAATGACTCTGGCTAGTGCCCTGGTTTTCTGCTGGTTTGGGGATCCACACTGTGACTTAACATGATTCCATTTATTATTTTACTAAAAACATTAGGAAAGTAACCAGTGTGACCAACCTCTGTACCTACAGATGTTTGCACCTGCTGCAGCTGGTGATCATGCTTGAAGCAATTGGTGTTTGGGTACTGGGATTGAACCCAGAGCCTTGTGCTTGCTAGGCAAGTGCCCTACCACCGACCACATTCCCCAGCCCTGTTTTTATTTTATTTTGAGACAGGGTCTCACTAAGTTGCTGAGGCTGACCTCAAACTTGGAATCCTTGTACCTAGGCCTCCCGAGTAGCTGGAATTACAGGTGTGCGCCACTATGCCTCCCTAAGAAATGAGTATTTCTGATAATGCCCCTAATGTATCCATTAGGAAAGTATAGAAAGGAAGGGATCCAGTTTGGAGGGGAAGTCTGGGGAGCGGTTGACTATCGGAGCAAGTGCATTTTCATTGTTATTGCTTTGGTATTGCCTTTGTTAAGAGGTAGGGACTGTGAGGTGTCGGCGTTATCGGTGTGTGATGAATGGTGGGCCTCACTTATCCATCTGCAGGTTGCTTATCTAGCACTTCACCATCTGGAACATAAATGGAGTCTCAAAAAAAAAAAAAAAAAAAGGGAAACAAAGTTGCCTCTTCACAGCTAAAATGAGCTAGAATCTGCACACCAAAGCCCATGTGTGCCTGTGGTTGGGGGAAAGAGCATGGGATTTATGGAGCTCTATCTCTGAAGACATTTTTAGTGGCAAAGTTTACTTTGGATAAAAAGAACTGAAAAAGAGGGTGCTGAAGGAAGGGCGCACATCACCCCCTGGCCAGCACTCACCATGTGCATGGCTGACAACCTCAATGTACCCGGCACTGCCCAGCACCCCTTGGACACCTGTGGGGGAGGAGCAATGAGGTCAGACATCCAGCAA